TCCTTGCTTCACAATTTCCAAATGGTTAGCAGTTCAGCTCAGAACTTTCCATTATGTTGGGTAAATCCCTGACATAGTGCAATAAAGGAAAATACAGTGGCAATTTGAGTGTTGAATGAGATCTGCTTCTGCTTAAGTGGTGTATGCAGATAACTCCATACACACACACACCAACAACATGTCAGGGGTTGCTGCTGGGCCATTCTGTAATCCCTAGTAGTTTGCCTCTAATCCTTATCTAAACAAACTGAGCTTAACTGAACAAACAGTTTTAACAGGCAGCTAATTTTATTGTTCCCTGAAAGACAATAAAATTCAATCTCTGTAAGATCCTTGGCTGCTAGGAAGACCCAAGGAGGTGGGTGAAGGAAGCAGGTTCAAATAGAGGTCTGTTTCTTGGTTAACTGTGGAATATTCACTTTCAGGTAAATCGCTTAACCGGCATTGCTGTCAAAATGGAGGGACCTGTATCCTGGGCAGCTTTTGTGCATGCCCCAAACACTTCATTGGCAGATACTGTGAGTGGGATGAACGGGAAAGGTATGGAAGTAGGCTAGAAAGCATGCGTTTCTAGGGGGGCTGGGAGGGTTCTTGCAGTATAATAAAAGGCTGAACTTTCTGATTTGTCATTGACAGCAACTGTGGCCCATTCGCACATGGTGAATGGATACAAAAAGGTTGCCAGCTGTGTCGATGTGGTTATGGAGTTCTGCACTGTCTAGCTGAACAAACACAAAACTGTGGTAAGGAGGAATGTTCTTGGAAAATCAACTATAGATAGAGATTGAAGGTAGCCATGCAGGGCTATTTTTGGGCAGGAAGGGCTGGAAGGATTGGGGAGGCATTTAAATGCTTCCCTGTGCTTTCCCTGGCTTGTCCAAGGGCCAGCTAGCCTGGGCGCCCTGCAGCTGCGGGGCACTCAGGCAAGCCAAGGGAAGACATGTTAAGTTGCCTTCCCTTCCCTTCAAGGGATGGCATGGGGGTGTGGCCTAATATGCTAATAAGCTGTATTGTCAGGGTGTGGCCCAATATGCTAATGAGTTTCTGCTGTTGGGTGTGGCCTATTGTCCAAATGAGTTTTTGGTGGGGGTTTTCTACAAAAAAAGCCCTGTGGCCATGTAACTTCTTAGTATTAACCAAAATAACACAACAGTGTGCAAGCTTTTGAATTCTCCAGAAGCCTTCACTAGGTGAGATGTAAAAGGGGAGAGGTGGAGATCTCTGACTTTGATCTTGAGGTGTCTTCTCTGCATCCTCTGTAGAATGCTAGATAGATATGAACAAAGTGTTACACCTTTGGCTTTCTTGAAAGGGGCAATGACAACCTCCAAATGAAACTACAAAAAACAGTAGTTAATTATAGTGTCTTTCACATCAAATAGGGCAATATCCAACAAGGTGTGGATATCCAGTCTCTCATGCTATTCAGTCCTAAAGCAGTTGTCAAATGTTTGGTCACATACATATACTGGAACTGAATCGAAATAGATGGGTTTAGGATTGATCTTCTGAGCCACGATGTCATAAAAGGACTATAAACTACCACAAGGCATTGTGCTAGTACCTGATTAGGAACAGTTCATGGTTAAAGTCTAAAAGTGAAAAGGCAATAGAAATGATGAGGGGATAAAAAGGTCTTCTGTAGCCAAGCTCCTCAAACTGAACACCACCAGAGGTGTTATGGAGCTCTCAAGCTTAATACCCTACAGAATGTATCAGCCAGCCCTCACAGAGCTAGTGGAATGCCTGAACCCTCTGAGGCAGCAGAAGTATGGGAAACCACAGGAAATAACAGGAATAGCTGTGGAATTCTGGTGTGAGTCATACGGGGAATTGAGATCAGATTATCATAATGGTCCCTTCTGGCTTATCTATGAAAACCAGGCAGTGATGAGTATCTGTTATTTAAATACTTTATCTAATTGAAGTCTTTCATTGGGCAATTAGGCTCAACAAGGAACTAGCTGTCCTCCTGCTTTGCTTCTTTGTTGTTCAGTCCCACAGTCGAGTCCGACTTCATGACCCCATGGACCACATCACGCCAGGCCCTCCTGTCTTCCATCGTGCTCCGGAGTTTGCTTAATTTCATGTTTGTTGCCTCGAGAACACAGTCTAACCAACTCATCCTTTGCTGTCCCCTTCTTCTTTGACCTTCAATCTTTGCTTCTACTTATATGTAAAACATATGTTTAGTTGAGTTTTTACCACTGTCTTTCATGCATCAGCCCTGAGGCCAAAAACCCAGCAGGAGTTATTTTCCACCTGGTCTCTGCAGGGATTAACCGTTGAACAGCACAGTTTAAGGTGGACACAATTATATCCCATATCTGCCTTTGCACTTTAGGTCTGCACTTCAGTTCCCCTATGGCAATTCAGAAATTCTCTCCTGGGAGAACTTCACATGTCAGTCATACAACTGCTAAGGATATAGAAGGGGGGGGGTTAAATAGAATCTTGTTAGATTGGGGTCCAGTGGCACCTTAGAGACCAACGAGATTTTCAAGTATGAGCTTCCAAGAGTCAAAGCTCCCTTTGTTAGATAACAGAGCTTTTACTCTCGAAAACTCATACCCCAAAAATCTTGTTAGTCTCTACTTGATTCATTTCTAGCTGTTCTTCTTGCAGACCAGCATTTGCAAACCTTTGAAACTAAAGTCTTGTTGTGATGCTAGCTACAGAGGATTAATGGGCAAAGAAAAAAGGGGTTATCCTTTTGATGTTTCACTGCTGGAGCAACTGTGTACAATTATGGGAAATGCAGTATTCTGTAAGAAGCCTGGAATTAGTTTGTGAATGATTTTTTTTTAATTCCACCTTTACTCCAAAGAGCCCAGGAGTATTTATGTATTAATCTCCTTCACTGTTCAAGTAACCTTCATGGCTGTGTCAGGACTTGAATCTGGCTGTTCTACACGTAGGCCATACTGGATCATATTTTATTTATTTACTTTATTCCCCACTTTTCTCCCCAAAGGAGACCCAAAGTGGCTTTTTCCTTTTTCTCATCACAAAACTGTGCATTTGCCTAGGCTGAGAGCCCAAGGTCACCGAGCAAGCTTCAAGACAAAGTGGGGGTTCAAACCTGGGTCTCCCGGGTCATAGGCCAGTACTGTAACCACTGCACTACGACGGGTTGTTATAGCCTGTCTTTTCTGTCTGCAGGATCATATTTCATTACAAGTAAATAACATTAATCTAAGCAAACTCTGGCCAAATAGATGAGGCCAGTTTTACAAGATATGCAGATCACTGGGTAAATTCCATTCATACAAGGACAAAACCTGCCTAAATTGGGTAGTAATCACCTCCCCTCACACCCACAATGATCTTTGAATCTTCCTGACATAAAAGACCTATTCTTTCAACAACACAGCTAACAATGTCTTTCTCCTCTGCACACTCCATTACAGTCAAAAGGAATTACTCCAGTATACCGGTATTTGGATTGTGGGCTGTGAACTGACACCTTATGTATATATTTGAAAGGAAATCTCCGTAGTTTTAGTGCAGCTTTCTACTGAATTCATTAGAATTAGGATGTGACTCTAAACCAACAGCTTATAAGTAAACTACCTTTCAAATATGTGATCCACCTAAATTTTGAGTTCAGATTTGAGGTGTTAAAATCTCTGCTGTCTACTTTTTTCCATCTGAGATCTCTGCTGACTACTTTTTTCCCATCTGCGAAAGGGTTAAGAGCATACAGTCAGGTTATTGGCTAAGCTCTTTGCCAGTGGTTTTATTTACTTTTGATTATTCTGTGATTAATGCCTGCAAGGGCTGATAAGTTGCTATCAGTTGTTCCTCAAAGGGTCCTCAGTGGCCTCTATTTGCATTTCTCCTCAAATAATGGAATCTGTGATTGGCTTCTACAGATGATCACTTTAACTTAAGTACCTGCTAGGAGGAAATTGGAAAATCTGTTGAAATTATTTGCATGCTGATATCCCCCTTAACTAGCTATTCTTTCCTTTTTTTCAGATGTAAGAGAAGAAGAGGAATTTATTCATTTGCGTTCAAATTGCCAAGGATTACAGCAAACAATGTGTTTTATTCTGATCCTTGTGACCTGCTTCTTCACATTCTTCTGCACCAAACTCTTCTATCAAATATGAGACTCTGCTTATTAAGACTGGGGCTCCTACAATGATGAAACTTGGTTGTTCTTAATTGACCTGTTTAACAGGATGTTCTTCAAGTTCTTAAAAACTGCAATGCATATCTTTTTGAAAGCTCCTAATTCAGTATCAACTACCTCACTTCTGATGTATTCATATATCCATCTAAAGACAAGACTGGATGAAGAAACAAAAGCTGCAGATAGCTGAGAATGGCTGGCTTCCTCAGAGGTAGAAGAGTTGCGACTGTACTTTGCAGGGAGTGTGGGTTGCATTTGAAAAGGACATCGTGTGTCAGCAGGATGGCAGGCATAGTTATTTTGGACCTTAGAATCACTTAATGATTTTTTCACAGCAGTTCTCCTGGAATACACAGAAATGCTTATTTATTTCCTTTATAGCCTGACCTCACTGGGATATAAGATGCTGGAATTGTCAATAGTAAAGATAAGCTTTACAGAGTTAAATGTTCTTTCAGACTAGGCCCAAGATTCCACCACTGGTAAAGTATTAGTGTGAGTGGAGCAGTGTTAGTAAACTTCTTAATGAATAGTGCAGTATTGCATGAATGTTAATTACTTCTGTTTGAATATGATTTAAGCAGTTCTTAACTTTTTTTTTTTAAGTATTCTCTTCCAGTGGAAGAAAAATCTTTTATGCTCTATGGCTTAAATATTGTAAGCAGGCAATACTAGTATATATTCAAAAATGATATTTTTAAAGAGAATATTATATATTTATTAATAGTGCTCTTTAACATTTCTCAAGATAACAAGAAGGAAGGAAGGAGGTTTGTTAACTTACACATATGACCATATTTATTAGTTAATTAGGACATTGTGCATATGGTCATCAGCTATGTGGCTTAAGTGCCACTGTGACCAGTGGACCCTGGCAGGTAGATATACATGCCCTGGTTTCATGCACACATTCAATTAATATACTAAGATCTTGGCATGGATTTAAAAAACCAGATATTTTGGACCTGCACTCTAGTCTCCATTTAAATGTTGCCCTGCTTTGAGCTTCTTAGATATATATTTCCCTCTCCTATTGTGTAGTTGTTTTTTATATAAAGAAAAAAATAATAAATACTGCATTTGTGTGATTGTACCCATTGGCCCTGCAATTAATTTGATATAGTATTTTAAAATGGCAAATGAATAAAATAGTTCAAATTCATCATAGAAATAATGGAAGGAGGAACAGTAGTCCACAAATCCCACAGGAAGCCAGTTGGCTGTCTTAATATGTCTTAATATGGTCATTGCATGGACCCTAGCTCCCACATTTTGGCCCAACTGAAGCATCTGCATAATCTTTGAAGGCAGCCCCACGTAGATCTTATAGCTGTAATCATGTCTGGACTTTATCAAGGCAATAATGGATCAAAATGAGATTAAATAAAAACTTTATGGTCCAAGATAGCACAGGAATGGTGGGAAGAATGTCACAAACATTTCTTTCATCCTTGTCTTTCTAAACATCTCCCAGTAATGGCAAATGAGAGACTTTTGGCTACTAATGTCTGTGTACTATAATTTGCCATCAGTGACTGAGGGATGTATAAAATGCATTATCGTGTTGTGGAGTTCACTGATTGCTGTTAACAGTCCTTCCAAAAGACTAAAAGCAAATACCAGAAAGGGTTTAGATCATCAGTGTTGAAACTGTATGGACAGTAGATTTTCTCATGTGCAGTTTACTTGAAATACATCACACATCTCCTTTTGTTTTGAGTGTATATGTTGCATGATGTAATACAAATGGTGTGGTGTGCTGAGGGTATTTCTGCGTGGAAGATTAGCTGCATGTTAGAATTTTTTCTTGTCTGTAGTTGCCTGTCATAAGGTTGCTTGTTTCGAGATTTGCCTCAGGGTAGCTATTATTTTCCTAAGGACAACAACCAGACACACAGATATCATCTTCATTTTTCTCTCTACAAAGTTGCCCATTCTAAGGTTGGAATATCCTGCATTGTTACAGGGAAGCAGACTTGCTGGCACCTGCTTCCCCACCAGGGATCATTGGATTGTAGTCTATGAATGCACTTGTGGCCACAAGAAGAGAGCAATGACAAAAGGCAACTGACATCCTGGTTTTGCAACCCTTGTTTTTCCTTAAGAGCTATTGCACAAGCAAATTTGCATTTGTTCCTCATGTACGGCATGTGATCTGTATGGCATTGCTCATCATTGCATTTCTGCTCCAAAGTTACTGACATTTTAATGACACAATATAGTTGGTAGCTGCGAAGAGGTAAGGAGCACCCAGGTGTGTAACAACACTGTAGAAACTAATGGTTGGAACATCAGTTTCTCCAGACTTCCATGATTATTTAAGATATATAGCCCCAGAACAGGGAACTCACAGATGAAAAATCACTATATCAAGCATTGTTCATATAGGGTGAAGGAGTTCGTTCTATATCTGGTAGTATTTTAACTGATTTTAGGAAGCATCCTGAATTGCCCATCTGTTCAGGTAGCAACTCCCATGTCCTTTACTTTACTTAAAACATTTTTTAAAACACCATGATCAGAGTAAGTAGCCATTATTGGGGGTATACCAGATGAAATAAAAAGTCTTCACCTGCTGGCAAAATACTCTGACAGAGGGAGACAAATCTACCGGGGGGGGGGGTTTCCCACAAAATTTTGGTGCTATAACAGAGAACGCCCATTCTAAGGTTGCTGGTCCCTTCCATATTGCACCTACTCCAACATTCCTTTCATCTTGCATAGACACCATTTTCAAAGGTGGTTCTTACAAGCTTTTGTCAGTCTGTATATCCAATCATGATTTGTATGTGGCATAATTCTATACTTAAATGGTATATCTTTGTAGCTGCTGCTTTGTGTATAGTAACAGAGAGGTATGATTAGATCCTGAATCATATTGCTAGTCATTTCAGCCAGAGCAGCTACATTTCAGTGTTCTTATCCAAATTTACTCTCCAAATTTTAAAAGCATTTCTGTCCCTTTGTCAATTTGTGTTACTTAGATGGCTACTTTGTGTATAGTAGGAGCTGCAGTGGCTCAAGAGGTTAAGACGCTGAACTGCAGGCTGTGGAAGGTCAGTAGTTCAGCAGTTCGAGACCCAAGTTGCCGCATGACGGAGTGAGCTCCTGTCTCTAGTTCCAGCTCCTGCCAACCTAGCAGTTCGAAAGCAAGAAATTGCAAGTAGATAAATCGGTACCACTTCGGTGGGAAGGTAACAGCATTCTATGCGCCTTGGTGTTTAGTCACGCCGGCCACATGACCACGGAAACGTCTTCGGACAGCGCTGGCTCTTCGGCTTTGAAACGGAGATGAGCACCGCAACCCTAGAGTCAGACTTTCTATACTTAAATGGTATATCTTTGTAGCTGCTGCTTTGTGTATAGTAACAGAGAGGTATGATTAGATCCTGAATCTTATTGCTAGTCATTTCAGCCAGAACAGCTACATATCAGTGTTCTTATCCAAATTTACTCTCCAAATTTTAAAAGCATTTCTGTCCCTTTGTTAATTTGTGTTATTTAGATGACTATGCCAATTTAAGCTAAAGAGTAGAACAGGTATTACAAAGTATTTTTTGGTCTTTTCAAGTGATGTATATATGCCTCTCTGGAGCTGCGGTGGCTCAAGTGGTTAAGACGCCGAACTGCAGGCTGTGGAAGGTCAGTAGTTCAGCAGTTCGAGACCCAGGTGCCGCAAGACAGAGTGAGCTCCCGTCTCTAGTTCCAGCTCCTGCCAACCTAGCAGTTCGAAAGCAAGAAATTGCAAGTAGATAAATAGGTACCACTTCGGTGGGAAGGTAACAGCGTTCCGTGCGCCTTGGCGTTTAGTCATGCCGGCCACATGACCACGGAAATGTCTTCAGACAGCGCTGGCTCTTCGGCTTTGAAACGGAGATGAGCACCGCAACCCTAGAGTTGGATTCGACTGGCTTTCGAGCAAGGGAACCTTTACCTTTTTATATATGCCTCTGTAATTTGATGCTATAAATGTTATACTGACAGTTCCCCCAAACTTGTTGAACTTAGGGTCATTGGAGGAAGGGGGAAAAGAACAATGGATTTTTATGGGCAAAGTTATGGACCCCGTGAAGATTCAGGTGGGATAACAATGACCTCTTATTCAGGGATTCATTATGAAAGAGTTCCTTCCTATGGGTCTTTTAGAGGGGACAGGAGAAGTATGCTGCTCCAGTGTTTGACCTATGACTTCACAATATGATGGCATGGGACCAAGTGTGTGTGTGTTGCACAGGGTTACACCAGGGTGGGAAAAACCACACCAACTCTCAAAAATGTATGTGTAAATGCACTGCAAGGAAAACAGCAAGAGAGTCAAAGGAATTCAAGCAGACTCTCTGGCTAGGCCAGAATGTCTCCACTCTTATCTGTCTCCAGCTGTTCAGGAGGACAGATAAAAGCAAAGGCTCTTCTACCATCTAGGCCAAACTGTTCTTCTAGCAAAGTAAATTACAAGCACTGAAGGAGAATTGTTTATAGCAAACACTAAAGTTTGCTCCACAGCTCCCAGGTGATTAAGGACTACTACAAGATGGTTCCCAGCAAACTAGGCATCTAGTCATCATGTATGTTCCTTTGCTTATGTAACTTGAATTTGGGAGAGGGGATGTTCAAAGAGAAATATTTATCAACCACTTCACAGCTTCCTGAACTATGAACTCTTTCACTCTTCAAAATTTACTCTAGAGCTAAAACAAATGGGTGTATCATGTGGCCTTCCTGGACCTAGTTGGGAACAATCCTGTCATCAACCATTCACAGCCATTAACACCATTCTTTACAGCGTGCTTCTGACAGAGGCAGAAAACATATTGCTTGATGGACAAGACAGTTTTGATACTACTAGAAGCTACATCCAGACAGCTCTAATCCAGGACACTGAATTTTTCATGTATCCAATTCATAAAACACTTCAGACAAGCTTTGCTCACCTCTGCACAGGGCTTTTTTTCTTTTTCTTTTTTAAAAGGTACCGGA